TTAATTTGTTTAGCTATAAGCATTTGCCGAAAAAGCCGATGCTGGTACCAACAAAAACTGCGGGGAACTATGCAAAAAATGCATCTTCGCACGAGCAGCCCGTGCATTGGTCAGTTATTTTAAACTGTATTTAGCTGCTATTTGCAGTACTTGCTTGTATTCCGGATTGTGAAATTCTTTACCTGCTATATTTTACAGATGGCAGTTAAACGCTGTAAGGTCTGTGTATAAAAAGACATTATTTAAATTCTCTTTTAATATCGTTGTTAGGGACTAACTTCAACGTTGGCGATGACTGCTCTTCTCCGTTTGACTTTTTAAAAAAGAGTTCAGCAAAGTGCCGAATATTTCCATTTGCTAGTTTTAGATCCTGCGTCTCCACCAAGCTAAATAAAAAAACTTTTTTACAACAAAATATCTTTACAAAAACGTGCTTTTTGGACTCATACTTTGATAAAACGTGCTCCAACAGAGCCAAACTACGATCGCTTTAATGAAACATTTGCTTACTTAATCACCAAAAAAAAAATTTGTTTGTCATTCATTATAAGGAGAGAGAAATAAAAAACAATCCGGTATGAGTTATAATTCTCAGAAGCTTACAACTGCCAATGTAAGGCAGTCCTACTAGCTGAAGATTTCAAATTCAGCCCCCAGGTATGCGTAGTACACACGTAGGGGCGTATGGAAGTTTTAAGGGGAAAATTGCTAACTCGGGTACCAGGAAGACTAGAAAGCTGAAATCTTGGGAGAATGTCCCCTGTCCAAGTAAAACTCAAATATTTCAAATTCAGTCCCAAGGTAAGCGTGGTACTCACGTAAGGGCGTACGAAAGTTTTAGGGGGGTGGGGAGAATTGCTAAATCGAGTACTAGGAAAACAGAAAGCTGAAATTTTGGAGGAGTGTTCCCCATCCAAGTACAACTCAAGTATTTCAAAATCAGCCCCAAGCTGTCCATTGTACTCACGTAAGGGCGTATGAAAGTTTCTGCAGGAAAATTACTAACTCGGTAATCAGAAGAACTGGAAGGCTGAAATTTTAGGCGGATGTTCCCTGCACAAGTGCAATTTAAAAATTTCAAATTCAGTTTTCCAAGCACGCGGAGTACCCAACTGCGGGTATGTGAAGGTTTTAGCGGGAAAACTGCTAACTTGGCAACCAGGAAAGCTGGAAAGCTGAAATTTTGAGGGGGTGTTCCCTGTCCAAGTACAACTTAAGTATTTCAAGTTCAACATTGAGGTATGCGTGGTTCTTACGTACGAGCAGTTAAAGTCTTGACTAAAAAATTTCCCACTGAACAACTAGGTTACTTTTAAAGAATGACGGTTAAATGGAAATTGTACATTTACTTTGCAAAATTTATGATGATTTATGCTAGCGACCGCAACAGGTAGGTGTAAAGCAACAGCCATTCGTACAGTTAATGACCTGAGTAATTCAAGTCCAGTGCGAAAGCGCATGTTCGCACGGTCCCGCCCGGTGCTTTCCAGCCTGGGTTAGTGAACTGGAAATATGCATTTTTTCAAAAATCTGCACTTGTTATTTTTTCT